TGTGTGTTTGTGTGTCTAGGGTTGTGTGGAGTGGTGTTGGGGGGGGGGGGTCTCTCCTTGAAGGTCAGTAGGAGGGTGTACAGATTGACTCTTCATTCAACACTATTGTTCCCTCCGAGCTCAACACCAAGCTCAGAGCCCTGGGTCTGGACTCCACCCTCTGCAACTGGATCCTGGACTTCCTGAGGGGCAGACCACAGGCTGTGAGGATAGACAACACCACCTCCTCCTCACTGACTCTTAACACGGGGGCCCCCCAGGGGTGTGTCCTCAGTCCTCTGCTGGACTCCCTGTTCACCCACGACTGCGTGGCTTTGCACGACACCAACTACGTCATCAAGTTTGCTGACGACACAACAGTAGTAGGCCTAATACTACCGCTGCACCATCGAGAGCGTCCTGACCGGTTGCATCACGGCCTGGTACGGGAAATGCTCCATCCACGACAGCAAGGCCCTCCAACAGGTGGGTGAAGACGGCCCAGTACATCACTAGGACCGTGCTCCCACCCATCCAGGACATCTACTTGAAACGGTGCCTGAGGAAGGCCTGCAGCATCATCAAGGACCCCAGACACCCCAGCCACGAGCTGTTCACTCCCTTACCGTGAGGCAGATGGTATCGGAGCATGAGGTCTGATACCAACAGGCTCAGAGACAGTTTCTATCTACAAGCCTTCAGACTGGACTGACCACCTGCTCTGATTCTCCGCACCTTATCACACATGCACTCCCTCACTCACACACACACACACACACACGCACAGACATACACACACGTACATTCACGCATCACAACTGCTGCAACCAGACTCTTATTATGATTGCTAAATGTTGCACAATGTAAACAATTGCCCCCAATCCCCCCTTTCCCAAAACATGTATAAATATTGGACTATAAATTGTACCTTCCTGTATTATACTAATTGCCCCTTCCTGTATTATACTAATTGCCCCTTCCTGTATTATACTAATTGCCCCTTCCTGTATTATACTAATTGCCCCTTCCTGTATTATACTAATTGCCCCTTCCTGTATTATACTAATTGCCCCTTCCTGTATTATACTAATTGCCCCTTCCTGTATTATACTAATTGCCCCTTCCTGTATTATACTAATTACCCCTTCCTGTATTATACTAATTGCCCCTTCCTGTATTATACTAATTGCCCCTTCCTGTATTATACTAATTGCCCCTTCCTGATGCTAAAATGTTTATTCAATTTACCTTGTTTGTATTCTTATATATATATAATTATTTATTTTTCTTATTGTTGTTGCATTGTCAAGAAGGAACCTGCAGTAAGCATTTTGTTGGACGATGTATACCATGTGTTTCCCGTATATACAGCTAATAAAACTTGAAACTTGTGTAATCTCCCGAGTGGCGCAGTGGTCTAAGGCACTGTCGTAGCCGGCCGCGACCGGGAGACCCATGGGGCGGCGCACAATTGGCCCAGCGTCGTCCAGGGTAGGGGAGGGAATGGCTGGCAGGGATGTAGCTCAGTTGGTAGAGCATGGCGTTTGCAACGGCAGGGTTGTGGGTTTGATTCCCACGGGGGGCAGAATGAAAAGTAAAAAAATAATGTATGCACTCACTAACTGTAAGTCGCTCTGGATAAGAGCGTCTGCTAAATGACTAAAAAATGTAAAATGTAAATGTGTGGGTGTGTATGTCTACATTTGAAGTGACTTGCGTTAAAAGGGATCGCTACGTACAGCTCCTGGGGCGATCACTGAAAGTCCAACCCCTTAGCAGTGTGTTAGTTGGGGTGTATTACCAACACAGTGAAGACTTCCAAGGCCTCCGGCAGGTTAGAGAGTTAGAGAGCCCAGCCCTGTTGTGCCTGTCTGGGCTGGTCCCTCCACCTTGGTGCTTACCTGAGGAATTCTGCCTCTTCAGACTCTTTATATCTCCATTTATTCCAGGGCAATAGCTCCACGCTCACACAAAGGGAAGGGTATACAAACCTTATCCCCTCTCCTCCACCCTCATCTCTTTTGGCGAAATATAATCAGTTGTCTATGAGCCAAGGCTTTGGGTCTTTGGGTCTTTGTACCCTCCTTTTCTCCCAGCAGAACATTTGGGTCGTGTCCCAAATCTCACCCTATTCCCTATATAGTGCACTACTCTTGACATTCACACACATCAAACACACATTTGAACACTCATCATCTGCTGCTGCTCCTTTATTATGGTCTATCCTGATGCCTAGTCACTTTACCCTGCCTTCATGTACATATCTACCTGAAATACCTTATTATGATCTATCCTGATGCCTAGTCACTTTACCCTGCCTTCATGTACATATCTACCTGAAATACCTTATTATTATCTATCCTGATGCCTAGTCACTTTACCCTGCCTTCATGTACATATCTACCTGAAATACCTTATTATTATCTATCCTGATGCCTAGTCACTTTACCCTGCCTTCATGTACATATCTACCTCAAATACCTTATTATTATCTATCCTGATGCCTAGTCACTTTACCCTGCCTTCATGTACATATCTACCTCAAATACCTTATTATGATCTATCCTGATGCCTAGTCACTTTACCCTGCCTTCATGTACATATCTACCTCAAATACCTTATTATTATCTATCCTGATGCCTAGTCACTTTACCCTGCCTTCATGTACATATCTACCTCAAATACCTTATTATTATCTATCCTGATGCCTAGTCACTTTACCCTGCCTTCATGTACATATCTACCTCAAATACCTTATTATGATCTATCCTGATGCCTAGTCACTTTACCCTGCCTTCATGTACATATCTACCTCAAATACCTTATTATTATCTATCCTGACGCCTAGTCACTTTACCCTGCCTTCATGTACATATCTACCTCAAATACCTTATTATTATCTATCCTGACGCCTAGTCACTTTACCCTGCCTTCATGTACATATCTACCTCAAATACCTTATTATTATCTATCCTGATGCCTAGTCACTTTACCCTGCCTTCATGTACATATCTACCTCAAATACCTTATCATTATCTATCCTGATGCTTGATAAAAATGCAAATCAATTTATAACATTTTTGACATGCATTTTTTCTGGATTTTTTTGTTGTTATTCTGTCTCTCACTGTTCAAATAAACCTACCATTCAAATTATAGACTGATCATTTCTTTGTCAGTGGGCAAACGTACAAAATCATCAGGGGATCAAATACTTTTTTCCCTCAATGTATATATACAGCAATAGCTATAAAGGATGGACTTGACTAGAATACAGTATATATACATATAAAAGGAGTAAATCAGTATGTAAACATTATTAAAGTGACCAGTGATTCCATTATTAAAGTGGCCAGTGTTCCATTATTAAAGTGGCCAGTGTTCCATTATTAAAGTGGCCAGTGATTCCATTATTAAAGTGGCCAGTGTTCCATTATTAAAGTGGCCAGTGATTCCATGTCTATGTACGTAGGGCAGCAGCCTCTAAGGTGCAGGGATGAGTAACTGGGTGGTAGCCAGCTAGTGACAGTGACTAAAGTTCAGGGCAGGGTACTGGGTGGAGGCCGGCTAGTGATGGCTATTTAACAGTCTTTTGGCCTTGAGATAGAAGCTGTTTTTCAGTCACTCTGTCCCAGCTTTGATGCACCTGTACTGCCCTCGCCTTCTGGATTATAGCAGGGGGGATCAGGCCGTGGCTCGGGTGGCTGAGGTCCTTGATGATCTGCTTGTCCTTCCTGTGACACCGGGTGCTGTAGATGTCCTGAAGGGCAGGCAGTGTGCCCCCGGTGAATCGTTGGGCTGACCGCACCACCCTCTGGAGAGCCCTGTGGTTGTGGACGGTGCAGTTGCCGTACCAGGCGGTGATACAGCCCGACAGGATGCTCTCAATGGTGCATCTGTAAAGGTTTGTGAGGGTCTTAAGGGCCAAGCTGAATTTCTTCAGCCTCCTGAGGTTGAAGAGGCTCTGTTGCGCCGCCTTCACCACACTGTCTGTGTGGGTGGACCATTTCAGATTGTCAGTGATGTGTACGCCAAGGAACTTGAAGCTTTTCACCTTCTCCACTGCGGTCCCGTCGATGTGGATGGGGGCGTGCTCCCTCTGATGCCTTCTGAAGTCCACCATCAGCTCCTTAGTTTTGCTGACGTTGAGGGAGAGGTTATTTTCCTGATACCACTCCGGCAGGGCCCTCACCTCCTCCCTGTAGGCTGTCTCGTCGTTGTTGGGAATCAGGCCTACCACTGTTGTGTCGCCTGCGAACTTGATGATTGAGTTGGAGGCGTGCTTGGCCACGCAGTCATGGGTGAACAGGGAGTACAGGAGGGGGCTGAGCACGCACCCTTGTGGGGCCCCAGTGTTGAGGATCAGCGTAGTGGAGGTGTTGTTTCCTACCTTCACCACCTGGGGGCGGCCCGTCAGGAAGTCCAGGACCCAGTTGCACAGGGCGGGGTTCAGACCCAGGGCCCAGAGCTTAATGATGAGCATGGAGGGTACTATGGTGTTGAATGCTGAGCTATAGTCAATGAACAGCATTCTTACATAGGTATTCCTCTTGTCCAGATGGGATAGGGCAGTGTGCAGTGTGATGGCGATTGCATCGTCTGTGGATCTATTGGGGCGGTAAGCAAATTGAAGTGGGTCTAGGGTAACAGGTAAGGTAGAGGTGATATGATCCTTAACTAGTCTCTCAAAGCACTTCATGATGACAGAGGTGAGTGCTACGGGGCGATAGTCATTTAGTTCAGTTACCTTTGCTTTCTTGGGTACTGGAACAATGGTGGCCATCTTGAAGCATGTGGGGACAGCACACTGGGATAGGGAGAGGTTGAATATGTCCATAAACACACCAGCCAGCTGGTCTGCGCATTTTCTGAGGACGCGGCTAGGGATGATGTCTGGGCCGGCAGCCTTGCGAGGGTTAACATGCTTAAATGTCTTACTCACGTCGGCCATGGAGAATGAGAGCCCACAGTCCTCGGGAGCAGCCCGCGGCAGTGGCACTGTGTTATCCTCAAAGCGGGTGAAGAAGGTGTTTAGCTTGTCTGAGAGCAAGACGTCGGTGTCAGCGACGTGGCTGGTTTTCCCTTTGTAATCCGTGATTGTCTGGAGACCCTGCCACTTACGTCTCTTCAGTCAGTGTAGATTAATGGGAGGAGACAGCTTAAAGAAGGATTTTTAAGCCTTGAGACAATTGAGACATGGATTGTTTATCAAGAATAGTCCACCACCCAAAAGACATCCAGCCAACTTGACACAACTGTGGGAAGCACTGGCGTCAACATTTCCTTGTAGAGTCGATGTCCCGACAAATTGAGGCTGTTCTGAGGGCCAAAGGGGGTGCAACTCAATAATAGGAAGGTGTTCCTAATGTTTGGTAAACTCATTGTATATATATTATAAAAATACTGTGTAAGTCAAAGGGTTGTGAATGTATGGAACAACAGCAGTTAGGTTGCAATATGACCTTGGTACCCTAGTCTGTCACATCCATACGGGCCAGGCAGGAAGACTGTCCTTTCAGATAGGAACCTAGTCTGTCACATCCATACGGGCCAGGCAGGAAGACTGTCCATTCAGATAGTATCCTAGTCTGTCACATTCATACGGGCCAGGCAGGAAGACTGTCCATTCATATAGGATCCTAGTCTGTCACATCCATACGGGCCAGGCAGGAAGACTGTCCATTCAGATAGTATCCTAGTCTGTCACATTCATACGGGCCAGGCAGGAAGACTGTCCATCCAGGCAGGAAGACTGTCCATCCAGGCAGGAAGACTGTCCATCCAGGCAGGAAGGCTGAGAAACTGCTGTAACGTTTCAACGTGATAGTAATGTTCAGTAGTAGGCGCATGATGAGACCCAGCTTCCTGTGTATTCCTGAGAAGAGAAGGAAACTTATTTAGAATGCTGTTGTTGCTCAAAAGTAGGAGGTTACATACAGTATACATGTGCAGTTCACTGTTAGCTGATCTTTTGTGTTGAATGGTTCTGTTGATGTTGTTGTTGTGTATGTTTTCAGGAGAGAAGGAGAGGGTGTGCGTGTGTTCTGGGACCGGCTAAGGGAACCCTCGTTCTCGTCTAGATGGAACCCGTTCGCTACAGACTACCCATTCAGCACCTTTACCTATCACCCTGTCAGGAACATAGACCACAGGTTCACTGCTCTCTGTGAGGTGAGTTTTGTGATGTGTACCATCCTACCATCCTACCATCCTACCACCCTACCATCCTACCACCCTACCATTCTACCATCCTACCACCCTACCATCCTACCATCCTACCACCCTACCACCCTACCACCCTACCATTCTACCATCCTACCACCCTACCATCCTACCATCCTACCACCCTACGCCCTACCACCCTACGCCCTACCACCCTACCAACTGACCATCCTACCGCCCTACCATCCTACCACCCTACGCCCTACCACCCTACCATCCTACCATCCTACCACCCTACCATCCTACCGCCCTACCATCCTACCACCCTACCATCCTACCACCCTACCACCCTACCATCCTACCACCCTACGCCCTACCATCCTACCATCCTACACCCTACCATCCTACCACCCTACTATCCTACCACCCTAAGCCCTACCATCCTACCACCCTACCATCCTACCACCCTACCACCCTACCACCCGACCATCCTACCACCCTACCATCCCCTCCAGGCCCACCTCTCTTTGAAGGGGCCCCTCCAGGCCCACCTCTCTTCCAGGGGCCCCTCCAGGCCCTACCATCCTACCACCCTACCACCCTACACCTACCACCCTACCACCCTACACCTACCACCCTACACTAGGGTAGAGAGGGGTATATCTCTGTTGTAGGGTAGATGTACACTACCGTTCAAAAGTTTGGGGTCACTTAGAAATGTCCTTGTTTTCTAAAGAAAAGCAATTTTTTTGTCTATTAAAATAACATCAAATCAGAAATACAGTGTAGACATTGTTAATGTTGTAAATGGGCTATTGTAGCTGGAAACAGCAGATTTTTAATGGAATATCTACATAGGCGTACAGAGGCCCATCATCAGCAACCATCAGTCCTGTGTTCCAATGGCACGTTGTGTTTGCTAATCCAAGTTTATCATTTTAAAAGGCTAATTGATCATTAGAAAACCCTTTCGCAATTATGTTAGCACAGCTGAAAACTATTGGGCTGATTAAAGAAGCAATAAAACGGGCCTTCTTGAGACTAATTGAGTATCTGGAGCATCAAACTTTCTTTTGAAACTCGTCAGTCTATTCTTGTTGCGAGAAATTCCCTATTCCCAAGAAACTGAAGATCTCGTACAACGCTGTGTACTACTCCCTTCACAGAACAGCGCAAACTGGCTCTAACCAGAATAGAAAGAGGAGTGCGAGGCCCCGGTGCACAACTGAGGAAGAGGACAAGTACATTAGTGTCTAGTTTGAGAAACAGACGCCTCACAGGTCCTTAACTGGCAGCTTCATTAAATAGTACCCGCAAAACCAGTCACAACATCATTTTTACATTTCAGTCATTTAGCAGATGCTCTTATCCAGAGCGACTTACAGGAGTAATTAGGGTTAAGGACCTTGCTCAAGGGCACAACGACAGATTTTTCACCTAGTCGGCTCGGGGATTAGAACCAGCAACCTTTCGGTTACTGGCACAACGCTCTTAACCACTAAGCCACCTGCCGCCCCAACAGTGAAGAGGTGACTCCGGGATGCTGACCTAGGCAGAGTTGCAAAGAATGGGCCCCTCCAGGCCAACCTCTCTTCCAATGCCCACCTCTCTTCCAGGGGCCCCTCCAGGCCCACCTCTCTTCCAAGGGACCCCTATAGGCCTACCTCTCTTCCAGGGGCCCCTCTAGGCCCACCTCTCTTCCAGGGGCCCTCCAGGCCAACCTCTCTTCCAAGGCCCTCCTCTCTTCCAAAGGGCCCCTCCAGGCCCACCTGTCTTCCAAGGGCCCCTCCAGACCCACCTCTCTTCCAGGGGCCCCTCCAGGCCCACCTCTCTTCCAAGGGGCCCCTCCAGGCCCACCTCTCTTCCAAGGGGCCCCTCCAGGCCCACCTCACTTTGAAGGGGCCCCTCCAGGCCCACCTCTCATCCAAGGGCCCCTCCAGGCCCACCTCTCATCCAAGGGCCCCTCCAGGCCCACTTATCTTACAGGGGACCCTCCAGGCCCACCTCTCTTCCAGGGGCCCCTCCAGGCCCACCTCTCGTTGAACCTGGCTGGACCCCTGGCCCATAGTTCAGTCACAGGCTGCATCCCAAATGGCAACCTGTTCCCTATTTAGTGCACTACTTTAGACCAGCACTATAAAGAGAAAAGGGTGCCATTTGGGCTGTGGCCACAGTGCAGGTGAGGAATCTGATGTAGGTGTCCTCCCAGATCATGTAACCAGTCATTAGGGTTGTCTAATCTAACGTGGCCTGGGTCCCTCCTTCTCTCCCTCCCTCCTTCCTCCAGACATGGTAGAGTCTGTCCTCCTTCTCTCCCTCCCTCCTTCCTCCAGACATGGTAGAGTCTTCCCTCCTTCTCTCCCTCCCTCCCTTTCTCAAACGACAACACACACCCTAATGTATGCCGGCCTCTCTCCCTCATCTCTTCCTCCCTCTCTCCCTCCCTCTTCCTCTCTCTCTCTCCCTCCCTCTTACTCTCTCTCTCCCTCCTCTCTCTCTCCTCCCTCCCTCTTCCTCTCTCTCTTCCTCTTCCTCTCTCTCCCTCTCTTCCTCTCTCTCTCCCTATCTTCCTCTCTCTCTCCCTCCCTCCCTCTCTTCCTCTCTCCCTCTCTTCATCTCCCTCTCCATCCTCTCTCTCCTCTCTCCCTCATCCCTCTCTCTACTCTCTTCCTCCCTCTCTTCCTCTCTCTCCCTCCTCTCTCCCTCCCTCTCTCCCTCCCTCTTCCTCTCTCTCTCCCTCCTCTCTCCCTCCCTCTTCCTCTCTCTCTCCCTCCTCTCTTCCTCCCTCTCTCTTCTTCTCCCTCTCTCTCCCTCCCTCTTCCTCCCTCTCTCACTCCCACTCTTCCGCTATCTCTCGCTCCTTCCCTTTCTCAGATCCAGTGCTTCCGTGAGCAGCTGACGGAGGCAGCCCAGAAGGCCCACCTAAAGAATCCTGTCCCTGGGAAGGCCAACGGGGTCCTGGTGCTGAACCAGCCTCTGCTCATCGATGCCTACGTGGGTCTCATGTCCTTTATTGGCAACCAGAACAAACTGGGGTACTGCCTGGCACGGGGAAACATTGGGTTTTAAACTAGGATTTGGCTATGTGCTATGTGCTTTTGAACGTACATTACTACTTGATTACTTAATCATAGTTTACAGTTGTGGCCGAGTTAAAGATTTGCAGTAATATTGTATATTTTTTGTATACATCGGGTTTTAAACATTTTTAAATGTACATTTGTACTTGATTAGTTTTTGTTTTTGAATGCTTTGTTCACATTTTTTTTGTCCTATTTACAGATTTGAAGTAGTATTGTGTATTTTCTATTTAATAGTTCACAACCTGGAAGGAATAGTTTTTACCCTAATTTCAAATGTGGTTTAGAGGTTATTTGTTGGTTTGTTTTCTAACTTGCCATGTTCAACTACCGTCAGTCTGAAATTGAAACGTATGTAGTTCTCCATCATTTGGATTACCCTAAGCGCTAAGGAATAGTCTACTGTAATTTCATACACAATTACCATGCCAAATTGTTCCTGCCATCACAGAGTTAATAAAGTTTTCACATTACCCTCCGTGACTCTCATGTACAGCTCTGATTTACCATTCTCTAACTGAATTACTTAACTTGATGTACAAACAGACAGAAACATCCACATTTCACCAGGTCCTTTCACTGGATGATTGATCCCGTTCTTCCAGGAGCTTTACCTCTATAATCATTCACCAGTCTTTTCAACGGGAGCTTCTCCCTCTACGGTCATTGGCTGTGTCCCAAATGGCACCCTATTCCCTATGTAGTGCACTACTTTTCACAGAGAGAGAGAGAGAGAGAGAGAGAGAGAGAGAGACTATATGTACACAAGGTAGGGCCCCCCAGCTACATTCAGCCGGTGGCTGATTTTTCCTTGAGTGGACGGTCGGGGGGGCGGAATTAATTATTTCTACACTGCAATAATCCCAAACAGATATAGTATTTCAAAAAACAGAATCAATTCAAACCTTCATAACATTGGGATGCGATGACATATGCCTATCTATTTATAAGTGGAATTCTTGGAAACAGATTTCCTAAATAAAAAAAATCCTGGTGAATTTAGTCTTTTATGTCCACTGCATTCCACAGTAAGAACATCATACCAAAGGTCAAGCGTGGTGATGGTTTGGGGATGCTTTGCTGCCTCAGGACCTGGACGACTTGCCTTAATAGAAGGAACCATGAATTCTGCTCTGTATTAGAGAATTCTACAGGAGAATGTCAGACCATCCGTCTGTGAGCTGAAGCTGAAGCGCAGCTGGGTCATGCAGCAAGACAATGATCCAAAACACACAATCAAATCTACATGAAAATTGCTAAAAAGCAACACATTTGTAGTTTTGGAATGGCCTAGTCAAAGTCCAGACCTAATCCCAATTGAGATGTTGTGGCAGGACTTGAATCGAGCAGTTAATGCTTGAAAACCCACACGTCACTGAGTTAAAGCAGTTCTGCATGGAAGAGTGGGCCAAAATTCCTCCACAGCGACAAGAGAGACTGATCAACAACATAGCTCTGGTCTCACTGATGTTATGTACGACAACATAGCTCTGGTCTCACTGATGTTATGTACAACAACATAGCTCTGGTCTCACTGATGTTATGTACAACAACATAGCTCTGGTCTCGCTGATGTTATGTACAACAACATAGCTCTGGTCTCGCTGATGTTATGTACAACAACATAGCTCTGGTCTCACTGATGTTATGTACAACAACATAGCTCTGGTCTCGCTGATGTTATGTACGACAACATAGCTCTGGTCTCACTGATGTTATGTACAACAACATAGCTCTGGTCTCGCTGATGTTATGTACAACAACATAGCTCTGGTCTCGCTGATGTTATGTACGACAACATAGCTCTGGTCTCACTGATGTTATGTACAACAACATAGCTCTGGTCTCACTGATGTCATGTACAACAACATAGCTCTGGTCTCGCTGATGTCATGTACGACAACATAGCTCTGGTCTCACTGATGTTATGTACAACAACATAGCTCTGGTCTCGCTGATGTTATGTACGACAACATAGCTCTGGTCTCACTGATGTTATGTACAACAACATAGCTCTGGTCTCGCTGATGTTATGTACAACAACATAGCTCTGGTCTCGCTGATGTTATGTACGACAACATAGCTCTGGTCTCACTGATGTTATGTACAACAACATAGCTCTGGTCTCACTGATGTTATGTACGACAACATAGCTCTGGTCTCACTGATGTTATGTACAACAACATAGCTCTGGTCTCACTGATGTTATGTACAACAACATAGCTCTGGTCTCGCTGATGTTATGTACGACAACATAGCTCTGGTCTCACTGATGTTATGTACAACAACATAGCTCTGGTCTCACTGATGTTATGTACAACAACATAGCTCTGGTCTCGCTGATGTCATGTACAACAACATAGCTCTGGTCTCACTGATGTTATGTACAACAACATAGCTCTGGTCTCACTGATGTTATGTATGACAACATAGCTCTGGTCTCACTGATGTTATGTATGACAACATAGCTCTGGTCTCGCTGGTGTTATGTTCTCACTAAAATGTGTTAAGCCTCCTGATGGTCAGACAAATAACACAATGGCTGTGTCATCCTGGCTGTCACTTTATACCCACTTCTTTACTGGGAAGAATAACAACCATATTATTATTATTATTATTATTATTACATGCCTAAAACGTGTTTTGGTTCCCCATATTTGGTTTCGTATTGAAGAGCCTACTGCCATCCCAATTATATCATTAAAGTTTTTTAAGGTGAATTGTTATTCCAGATTTAAGATACTGAATCATTCACAAGTTGCAGAGCAACGGAAACAGTAATGAGAAATGTGCTGTCCTCACACTGACAAGATGTATTGTATTTTTAAAGAGCCTTGCATCACCTACAGTGTAGTCTTCTCTCCAGACTGACAAGGTAATAAACCGGATGTCCAACAGTGAAACTGATATCCTATACAACTCAAACCATAGCCTTTAGGCCTACAATGGGCGAGAAGGTCCATTTGAATTGGCATCAGTTAAAGCTGATGTGGCACCCTCCTCTCCTATTAAGCAGCCAGTGTCCGAGCAGCAAAGGGAAGCTGTTATTCTAACAGGTAAAGTATATGTTTTAGTTGTAACCTATAGGATCGTGTATCATAACCGTAGGGCTGGAAAGGTTAACATATATCCTCTTTAAGTTGAGGATGTGTCTCTAATCCAGGATCAAGCAGCGTTCTGCCCCGGAGGCAAGGCACCAGCCTCACCCCCCCCCCCCCCCCCAACACACACACACACAAACACAAACACAGACACGTTTGTTTTACTGTCCTTGTGGGTCTCAAACAATTACCATTCAAAATCCTATTTTCCATAACCCCTAAACCTAACCCTTAACCTAACCCTAACCTTAACCCTAACCCCTAACCCTAACCTTAACCCCTAACCCTAATTCGAGCCCCAATTGTAGCCCTAACCCTAAACCTAACCGCTAGGCCTAAAATAAAAAAATTATTGTGGGGACCGGCGAAATGTCCCCACTTGTCCAAATGTTCTTTGTTTTACTATCCTTGTGAGGACTTCTGGTCCCGAAAAGGATCTTAAAACCCCAACAACAACAAAACACACACACACACACACACACACAAACAAAAGTTGTAAATGACCTGGATCAGCTGCCAAATAAAAGAGATCAGAGCACATAAAGTACTCCAGAGGGTTTCACAACTACACCGACTTCCTGTTTTATACTGTTGTTTCGCTTAGAGCAACATTCAAATAACATGTCATCCAGATCTCTGCACTGCGGTTGATAATTGCTTGAGATGTCCGTCCATTGAATCGTGTTTGTTTATTACAGGACACATAGCTCAAGTTTAGAAGGCTATAGTCCGTCTTACATACCTGAACAGCTGTTTACATACCTGGATGACTGTTTACATACCTGAACAGCTGTTTACATACCTGGATGACTGTTTACATACCTGGATGACTGTTTACATACCTGGATGACTGTTTACATACCTGAACAGCTGTTTACATACCTGGATGACTGTTTACATACCTGGATGACTGTTTACATACCTGGATGACTGATTACATACCTGGATGACTGTTTGGTGATGGGTTATTGACTCTGTCATCATCTTCAGCTATAATAAAGTTAGATAAAAAGTATCTCTGATGTATTTTTCATGTGTTGGTTTCCTGGGAGACCGTAATTACCTGTTTCATTCATCATGTTGTGAAGGTGTGATTTTATGGCCCTGAAATTACCCCACACCTAACCCTAACCCTAACCCTAACCCTGACCCTGACCCTAACCCTAACCATGACCCTAACCCTAACCCTAACCCTAACCCTGACCCTGACCCTAACCCTAACCCTAACCCTAACCCTAACCCTGACCCTGACCCTGACCCTAACCCTAACCCTAACCCTAACCCTAACCCCCTAACCCTAACCCTAACCTTAACCCATGGACCTTTGGTACAGAACGTTTAGAATACTCAGTGACTTCTAGCACTGTGGTGTAGAGTTCTGTTGTTGATTTCAAATCATGAACAAAGTAGTTCTCAACCCTTGAGGTGTAAGCTTCCAATTTCTATTAAGTGCAAAAAGGGCAGGAATGGACAAAGGGAAATTTTTGGAAAAGGAAATTTAATGGTTTTAAAAAGCCCCTTTTCTCCCCCCCTTTCACCTCCTCTTTTTTTCCTTTTTTTTCCCAACCCTTCTTTTTCCTTTGCTTTTTCCCCCCCTTTTTCCCCCCCTCCCACCCCCCACCTTTTTTCCCCCCCCCGCCCCCCCCCCCCTTCCTTTTCCCTCCCCCCCTTCTCCCCTCTCTATCCTCTCCTTCTTTTTTCCTCTCTCTTTTCTTCTACCCTTTTCTCTTTTTTTTCTTCTCTTTCCCCCCTTTTTTTTTCTCTCTCGTTTCCCCCGTCTTCTTTCTTGCTCTTCTCTTTACTCTTCTCTTTTTCTCCCCCTTTCTCTCTTTTTTTTTCTCTCGTTCTCTTCTTCCTCTCTTTCTCTCTGTCTCTCCTCTCTCTCTCCCTCTTCTCTCTCCCTCTCTTTTTTCTTTTCTTCCTCTCTCTCCACTCTCCTTCTCTTTCTCTCTCGCTCTCTCTCTCTCCTGTTTTCATAATAAACAACTAAGTGTTTTTGTAAAGCCGTCTTTGAGTCTTTTTGACGATATGTGATTCGCTCCAAGCCAAGATATAAATGATTTTTAGCGACATAAAAACAACAACATTAAAACAAAAACTAATGGGAGCGTCCTTAGATGTCCGTCTTATTGCATTAGAAGTATTAATGTTGGAATAGTAACTGATCACATCATATCATCATGGAACCAGAACATCAGGTTTTATGTGTAATTAAACAGTAATCTCAGGGGAAAATTACCATTACGTCTCTCCTCATCTTACAAGATTTATGAATATGTGAAACAAAAGATTTGAAAAATGTTCGCGAAAATACTAAAAGTCAAGTGATTTAGCATGGTGTTGTAGAACGTCTGCATGGGCGATGTGCAGAGCAGAGAGATGAATCACCTGAGAGGCGTTCTAATCAGCGTTCCATTCTGGGAAGGTAAACCAGCGCCTCGGGGAGAGAATATGGGCTGAACTTCACTCCAGTTCTACTTACTAAAATAACATCTAACTGATCAACTGGCAGCTTGTTTCTCCTAGTCCTGACACTAGTCAGAGATTGATTAGCCCATCCAACTACCTCATCCCCATATTGTTATTTATTTTGCTCATTTGCACCCCAGTATCTCTATTTGCACATCATCTTCCGCACATCTATCATTCCAGTGTTAATACTAAATTGTAATTATTTTGCACTATGGCCTATTTATTGCCTTACCTCCATAACTTACTACATTTGCACACACTGTATATATATTTTCTGTTGTATTTTTGACTTTATGTTTTGTTTTACCCCATATGTAACTCTGTGTTGTTGTTGTTTTTATCGCACTGCTTTGCTTTATCTTGGCCAGGTCGCAGTTGTAAATGAGAACTTGTTCTCAACTGGTTTACCTGGTTAAATAAAGGTGCACACGGCACACAGCAGACGGAAAATTACATTTGTGGACGAAGCCATAGGGAGTAAGGCCCGGATTCAATCCGATCGCGCTTGGTCAGCTATGCACCTTTTAAAGGCAAGGTTCCCGCGTTTTCGGCTCAATCGAAAATTACCTTTAAATGGTGCATAGCCGACAGAGTGCAATCGGATCGAGTCCTGGCCTAATTGTACAAAGTGTTGTTTAAGGCAGCGCATCTGTGAATATGACTCTACTGAGAATCAGTGGCCCGATACTCAAATGACCTCTTTTTCTCTGTTGTAGAGTTTCATTCTGAATTTATGTGATATCTGAAACACCCATTCAGTACGGTAGAGCCCAAGTACTTCCACACCTTTTGTTTTGTAAATGAGGAAACCACAAATCTGAGAAGAGGAACAGCGAAGTGAGGAGGATCCTGCTCACTGTGGTCCTCTGTAGCTCAATTGGTAGAGCATGGCGCTTCTAACGCTTCTACTTCCTTGTTATTGGACTGTGGGGAATAGGGTGCCCCTTTGGGACGCACACCTTGTCAGTCCCAAGTAGTTGGATGGTTGGACTGACCTGAAACAAGATTCCTGAAGTGGAATGTGATTGGCTGTAAGTGATGGGGCTTAAAGAAGCTCTCCAGAAATGCCCATGAGACCCCGGCTGACCCCTCCAGGCTGCGTCCCAAACAACATTTTATTTGTCACGTTCTTTGTAAACAACAGGTGTAGACTAACAGTGAAATGCTTACTTACGGACGAGTAAATGCTTACTCACCCTATGGGCCCTGGTCAAAAGTAGTGCACTATATAGTGAATAGGGTGCCATTTGGGATGCTTGACACCCCGAGCTGGACTGCCTGGGATCAGTGGGATGCTCGGGGCGTCAGAGTAACATTAGACTGGGATCAGTGGGATGCTCGGGGCGTCAGAGTAACATTAGAGGCATTCTGGGAGACACTAGATCCTGCTCTGCTCTCCCTCCCTGGAACACCTAGTCAGAGCTCCAAGCTTCTAGATCAGGGAGGGGAAACTGGCGGAAACTTCCACAAACAAAAACAAACAATCATTTGGTGAGGGAATTCAGTCGGGTTCTCAACTTCCTGTTGAGAGTTAGAATAGTAGAATACACAAGGTGCAATTTCTAAATGTGGTTGTGCATCAGCAGTTATTCTCTTGTTACGTCAGTCACTGACAGTCACTCAATTAGCCATGCCAGCTAACATTTTTTAGATTGGTAAGCTAGTCTAGCCGCCAGCTATTTAAATGTGTAGTAATCATGGCTGAATTACCGACCGGCGGGCCCCAATTGATTTTGTTATTAAAAACTGCAAACATTTCTCTCCACCCTGTGGCAAAATTAGTAGAATTGCATGACATTTTTTATAAAATTGCAACATTTGCTCTACGCCCCATTTTCAGGGTCATGGAATCTACAGCCTCCATGTTAATTTCTCTGCAGTCCGTCTCCATGCGTGGCCTATGTGTTCGGTAAACATGCTGCACCTGTCCATGGAATGAATGCTGGTTGCCAACCAACAATGGAATGCTGGTTGCCAACCAACAATGGAATGCTGGTTGCTAACCAACAAGACTAAATGCTGTGACCATCTCCCTGGCCTCTCTCTCTCTTTTTTCCATGTGTGTTTGTGAGTGCAAGTTTAAGTGGTTTCGTGTGTGTGTATGCATGCATTCATAACAACGTGTTCATAGGGATGTGTGTGGGCCAGAAGATATACAAGATATCTGTCTAGCTGGCTCTCAGGCGAGGGTGATAGAGATTCTCCCCTCCCATCCTCTCCAGGCAGCTGTCAGTGTTGTGTCTGGAGCAGCATGTTGATCTGAACTTGATCTGAGGGAAACGCTTGGGTTGCATCCCAAATGGGACCCTATTCCCTATAAACTGTATATAGTGCCATACTTTTGGTCGAAATCGCACGATGAAAGGATAAGGTCTAGCCACCTGCCGGTTCCAAGTGGAACAATAATAATATCCCATTTAGCAGACGCTTTTATCCGAAGCGACTTACAGTCATGTGCGCATACATTTTTACGTATGGGTGGTCCCGGGGATCGAACCCACTACCCTGGCGTTACAAGCGCCATGCTCTACCAATTGAGCTGCAGAGGACCACATGTACTTTATTTTTCTGATAGACATAACACCATTCTCCATGCGCTGTAATGTACTAATTGATAAGTGGATGAGCTATTGATAAGAGCTATTGATAAGAGCTATTGATAAGAGCTATTGATAAGAGCTGGGTAAATGAGTAAGGCATTTGGATAAGGGGATTGTAAATATAAATGACAATTGTTTTACCTTATGATCGCTGGAGACAAATGTGAAACCAGTCATATGGCAGCAAACTGAAGCATCAACATGTCACATTTTCCACAGTGAAGTTTATGAAATGCTGGCATTATAACTTGGGATGAAATGTGGAGACCCAAGCAATAGGCTTCTGTAGCCATGCACAAATGACAGTAGAGCGCCAAACCTACCGAGTTGATTTATGATTTCTAGAACGTTTTAATTATATGCCCAGACATTTCACTATTTGTTTTGACAATTTATATATTGTTAAATATTAGCCACTATCAGTAGCCACCATCAGTTATACTCACATACATTTATAACGGTCACTGACTTTAGCGTTAGTTTCCTTACGTTGCATTATTATTACATCATTAGTTTACATTTCTTTCTTATTTTACGTTCGTGTGATTGTTCCTGAGGATCGCTAGCAATAGTGGATCATATTAGGCTAACGTATTACAAGTTGTGCAATAATTTGGGACATGTAGCCTATTTGAATCATTATGGAACACAGACCATACGTAGAAGTTTAAACCTGGAGCCTGGTGCCCGGTTCAAGATGACTGGACCGTTGTCATCACAGTTCCATGATTAGTGAGGATTGTTAGGGTAGATTTATAGGACAACTTCTCAACCGCTATTGTACACTTTTCTCACCCTTCCAATATTTCATGGATTGAACATGGCAACTTTCAGGATGAATCAAACCACTGTATCTTTCATCCACCAATATATTTCATTTTTGCAGACGCCCTTATTACAGGAGAAATTAGGGTTAAGTGACTTGCTCAAGAGTTTTCACCTAGCCAGGTTGGGGATTCAAACCAGCGACGTTTTGGTTACTGGCCCAACACCCTTAACCGCTAGGCTACCTGCCGCCCAAACCAGTTTTTTTATTAATATTCATAAATACTTTCCTAACCCTAAATAATATAGAAGATCAGGGTATTTTTTTTAAATCTACCAACTGGAGCTGAAAAGGAGATGAATATGTAAGTATTTAGGCATACATGGCTTTCTGTCATTGGGGAAGGGATGCCTAGTCAGTTGCACATCTGAATGCATTCAACTGAAATGTGTATTCTGCATTTAACCCAACCCCTCTGAATCGACATCCACAGCGCCCAGGGAGCAGTTGTTGTTGGGGATTAACGGCCTTGCTCAAGGGCAGAATGGCAGATTTATTCACCTTGCCAGCTCGGGGATTTGAACCATCCACTTTTCAGTTACTGGCCCAACGCTCTTAACCGCTAGGGTACCTGCCGCCCCCAGGAGTAAGCAGAACTTCTAGAGCTGCCGGCTCCTTGAAATAGAACCGTTCTCTCCATATATTCTAGTCAGTCTGTTGATAAAATTCAAACTAAAGGTACACCAAATCTAAAGGTGTGATATAGACGTGGCGCTGCTAGGGGGGAGGGGTGTGTCTCTTTGTTAACAGCAGGTGGCTAAATGCCTTCTATACTCGTTTCGAGGCAAGCAACAATGAACCATGCTTGAAGGCACCAGCTGTTCCGGATGAATGTGTGAGTAAAAAACCTTTAAACAGGTCAACATTCACAAGGCCGCAGGGCCAGATGGATTACCGGGACGTGTACTCAGAGCATGTAATAAAATCTTTAAACAGGTCAACATTCACAAGGCCGCAGGGCCAGATGGATTACCGGGACGTGTACTCAGAGCATGTAATAAAATCTTTAAACAGGTCAACATTCACAAGGCCGCAGGGCCAGATGGATTACCGGGACGTGTACTCAGAGCATGTAATAAAATCTTTAAACAGGTCAACATTCACAAGGCCGCAGGGCCAGATGGATTACCGGGACGTGTACTCAGAGCATGTAATAAAATCTTTTAAACAGGTCAACATTCACAAGGCCGCAGGGCCAGATGGATTACCGGGACGTGTACTCAGAGCATGTAATAAAATCTTTAAACAGGTCAACATTCACAAGGCCGCAGGGCCAGATGGATTACCGGGACGTGTACTCAGAGCATGTAATAAAATCTTTAAACAGGTCAACATTCACAAGGCCGCAGGGCCAGATGGATTACCAGGATGTGTACTCAGAGCATGTAATAAAATCTTTAAACAGGTCAACATTCACAAGGCCGCAGGCCCAGATGGATTACCAGGATGTGTACTCAGAGCATGCAGTGACCAGCTGGCAAGTGTTTTCAGTGACATTTTCAACCTCTCCCTGACCCTGTCTGTAATATTTACGTTTCAAGCAGACCACCATAGTCCCTGTGCCCAAGAACGCCAAGGTAACCTGTCTAAATGACTATCATTCCCGTAGCACACACATCTGTAGCCATAAAATTTCTTTTAAAGACTGGTCATGGTTACCAACCCTATTATCCCAGACACCCTGGACCCACTCCAATTCCCATACTGCCCCAACAGATCCACAGATGACGCAATCTCTATTGCACTCCACACTGCCCTTTCCCACCTGGACAAAAGGAACACCTATGTGAGAATCCTGTTCATTGACTACAGCTCAGCGTTCAACACCGTAGTGCCCACCAAGCTTATCACTAACTCAGGACCCTGGGATTGAACACCTCCCTCTGCAACTGGATCCTGGACTTCCTGACGGGCCGCCCCCAGGTGGTAAGGGTAGGCAACAACACATCTGCCACGCTGAACTTTAACACGGGGGCCCCTCAGGGGTGCGTGCTTAGTCCCCTCCTGTACTCCCTGGTTCACCCACGACTGCGTGGCCAAGCACGACTCCAACACCATTGTTAAATTTGCTGACAACACGACAGTGGTACGCCTGATCACCAACGGCGATGAGACAGCCTATAGGGAGGAGGTCAGTGACCTGTCAGTGTGGAGCCATGACAAAAACCTTTCCCTCACACACACCAACACGTGAAGAAGGCACGACAATGTCCTCTTCCGCCTCAGGAGGCAAGCGGCAAGCGGTACCGATGCACCAAGTCTGGAACCAACAGCACCCTGAACAGCTTCTACTCCCAAGCCATAAGACTGCTAAATAGTTAACCAAATAGCTACCCGGACTATCTGCATTGACCACCCTTTGCACAAATTGTTTTGACTCATCACATACGCTGCTGCTATTGCGGCTTATTATCTATTTCGGCTTATTATCTATTGCTGCTTATTATCTATTGCTGCTTATTATCTATTGCTGCTTATTATCTAATGCTGCTTGTTATCTATTGCTGCTTGTTATCTATTGCTGCTTATTATCTATTGCTGCTTATTATCTATCCTGTTGTCTAGTCACTTTAGCTCATATGTACATAATTACCACGAGAATCTGAGGGAGGATTTTCAGCAGTTAAATTACATTTATTCAGTGCGCACAAGAGAACCACACCTGCAAAGCCCGCACCTATATTAGTTAAGTCTGAACACCAACTACTGAGAAGTGCATAGGAAAGGTGTGAGTAGGGAAGGTGTGCGTAGGAAAGGTGTGCTTTTCCTAAGTCTGAATCATGCCCTATGTGAGGAATAAGGTGCCATTAGGGACATGGCCAAGGAGAACCATCAACCTCTCCAGTCCTCTCCAACCTCTCCAACCTCTACAGTCCTCTCCAGTCCTCTCCAACCTCTCCAACCTCTCCAGTCCTCTCCAACCTCTCCAACCTCTACAGTCCTCTACACTCCTCTCCAACCTCTCCAACCTCTACAGTCCTCTCCAGTGCTCTCCAACCTCTCCAACCTCTACAGTCCTCTCCAGTCCTCTCCAACCTCTCCAACCTCTACAGTCCTCTCCAGTCCTCACCAGTCCTCTCCAACCTCTACAGTCCTCTCCAGTCCTCTCCAACCTCTCCAACCTCTACAGTCCTCAACACTCCTCTCCAACCTCTCCAGTCCTCTCCAACCTCTCCAACCTCTCCAACCTCTGCATTCCTCTCCAACCTCTCCAACCTCTACAGTCCTCTCCAGTCCTCTCCAACCTCTACAGTCCTCTCCAACCTCTCCAACCTCTACAGTCCTCTCCAGTCCTCACCAGTCCTCTCCAACCTCTCCAGTCCTCTCCAACCTCTACAGTCCTTTCCAACCTCTCCAGTCCTCTCCAACCTCTCCAACCTCTCCAACCTCTACAGTCCTCTCTAACCTCTCCAACCTCTCCAACCTCTCCAAACTCTACAATCCTCTCCAACTTCTCCAACCTTTACAGTCTTCTCCATCCTCTCCAACCTCTACAGTCCTCTCCAACCTCTACAGTCCTCTCCAACCTCTCCAGTCCTCTCCAACCTCTCCAACCTCTCCAGTCCTCTCCAACCTCTCCAACCTCTCCAGTCCTCTCCAACCTCTCCAACCTCTCCAGTCCTCTCCAACCTCTCCAACCTCAACAGTCCTCTCCAACCTCTCCAACCTCTCCAACCTCTCCAGTCCTCTCCAACCTCTCCAACCTCTCCAGTCCTCTCCAACCTCTCCAACCTCTCCAGTCCTTTCCAACCTCTCCAACCTCAACAGTCCTCTCCAACCTCTCCAACCTCTCCATCCTCTGCATTCCTCTCCAACCTCTCCAACCTCTACAGTCCTCTCCAACCTCTCCAACCTCTCCAGTCCTCTCCAACCTCTCCAACCTCTACAGTCCTCTCCAACCTCTCCAACCTCTCCAGTCCTCTCCAACCTATCCAACCTCTCCAGTCCTCTCCAACCTCCAACCTCTCCAGTCCTCTCCAACCTCTAAAACCTCCTCCAGTCCTCTCCAATCTCTCAAACTTCTCCAGTCCTCTCCAACCTGTAAAACTTCTCCAGTCCTCTCCAATCTCTAAAACCTCCTCCAGTCCTCTCCAACTTCTCCAACCTCTCCAGTCCTCTACAACCTCTAAAACCACTCCATTCCTCTCCAACCTCTCCAGTCCTCTCCAACCTCTCCAACCTTTCCAGTCCTCTCCAACCTTTCCAGTCATCTCCAACCTCTCCAACCTTTCCAGTCCTCTCCAACCTCTCCAACCTCTCCAGGCATCTCCAACCTCTAAAACATTTCCAATCCTCCAGATATGTAGAATGTTAGAGAGCTAGAGAACACACCCTATTCCTCTACATCATGGAAAACAATAGCTCTGAGGAATATGTTAGAAATGTCTGACTTGTCTATTTGGATGTACTGTGAACTAGTCACTGGTGCTATGTGCTGTTATTTACAACCAAGATAAACGTTCTACCCAGACTTGAATTCTAACTCCACATGAATCTAATGGGAGAGGCTGCAGGGGAAATCCAGACTTTTGAAATATAGTGGAATGGATGACATTGTAGTACAGTAGCAGTTGGTATAACTGTTTCTGTTTATAACCTCTGTTTATAACCTCTGTTTATAACCTCATGTTTATAACCTATGTTTATAACCTCTGTTTATAACCTCATGTTTATAACCTATGTTTATAACATCTGTTTATAACCTCATGTTTATAACCTATGTTTATAACCTCTGTTTATAACCTCATGTTCATGGTGACAGAAATCAAAGTGTTAACAATTAATCAATTATATATCGGTATGTTTTTATTGATTGATCTAGGTTCTGATCAATGTTCCAGATGACTAATTGTCATTCATGCATGTGCACGGAGAAGCTTGATAAGCAATCCTATTGACAATCTGCTATAATCATTCAATCAAAGGAGTGTTGTCTCGCATAGCAGCGCTTGACATTTAAAGGTGATTTCAAAAAAATTAGGTAATTTCCACTTTTAGGTAATTTCCTGAATTGATCAGGAACCATAACAGGGCAAATTGTCTGTAGTGCGACAATGTAGCACCTCTGATTGAATCCAAGCTTTAGTAAGTTATGGTTAACGCAGATGCAGTATAACTTGGTTGGTTAATCCTACAGTTTCTCGTGAAGGTTTAAAAACGTAATAAAAACCTTTGGTCCAGGGACCTCCAGTGTTTAGTTCTCCTGAGCCATGTGTGTTGACAGGGATCAACTCTATCAATACTCCCTTTGTGATTGAACTTCAGGCTGAACCACAGGGAAAGGGCTGAGTAAACAGTGAAATAGAATAGCTTCTAACACACACACACACACGCAGAGAGACACACACACACGCACACACACAGACACACACACACACACACACAGACACACACACACACACACACACACACACACACACACACAGACACAGAGAGACACACACACGCACACACAGACACACACAGACACACACACACACACACACACACACACACGCACACACACAGACACAGACACAGACACACACACACGCACATGCACACACACAGACACACACACACACGCATACAAAACACACACACACACGGGACGAAGATGCTGTCAATGGGGCACTATGTCACCACTCACTAATTTGCCCTGTGGTCCTTTTGCAAATAGTTTTCAAGACCTTGGGCTCTATTTTCAGCTGGTATTAAGGCGGCGCTAGCGGCCATTTCTACTTGTAAAAGCCAGCGCTCTGCTATTTTCCAACCCTGGCACCAGGGTTGGTCATTTACCGGTCTTACATCAGTTCGCTTGCGCTGATGTGGCGGGGTGGAAATATTTTTGAAGTGTGTATTTGAAACGGTGCGTCAATGTGCCAATGTCAAGCAGCACTACTGTTGAAGCTTGTCTTAGCGGTCCTCTGTAGCTCAATTGGTAGAGCACGGCGCTTGTAACGCCAGTGTAGTGGGTTCGATTCCCGGCACCACCCATACGTAAAAATGTATGCGCACATGGCTGTAAGTCGCTTTGGATAAAAGCGTCTGCTAAATGGCATATTATTATTTAACGTTAACGCAATTGCTGATTTTGCCAGCGGAGGCACGACAGCCCTAATATCACGAGCAGTAAAACTGTCTTGCTTTTTCTTCATATTTGGACATTATTTCTGTCCATGCAGCTTCTGTGAAAAGTTTGGACTCATTAGGTCTATGTGCGATGCCCAGTTGAATGAAAGGTGTCAGTGACTGTAGGAAGTCTGTATAGGATCATCAGGTCATTACAACAGACTACACATTGTTTTACCTTTATCATTTTGTAAAAAAAAAAAAAAAATTGCATCTTGTTAGACCTAACTGTCAAATGGATGCGAATTTTGATCGTTGTCCTTAGCGCTGAATCCACTTGTAGCCTGTTTGTTTACCTTTAAGGTGGCAAAGTCACCAACAGGACATATCAACGTCGACGGTAGACTAATATTATTATAACATTTGGGCAATGTCCAATTGTCCATGGCTCGAACATGCAGGGGATTTTCTAAATGTGTAGATGAATATTGTATTTCCATTTTGAAGCCAATAAAGAAAATGGCAACACTTTATTTTAAGGGTCCGTAATAAAACCATTTATACGGCATTCAGAAAGCCTGCGTTCAACATTTATTAATCAATACTAATCATTAATAAAGTATTTTTGCAGTCCCTAATCTAAAGTGAGTGATAATTATACTTTATAAATATTTTATAAATGTTTTTTGAGTGACCAGTGTAATTTCTCACATAAAGATGGTCATGCCATCCAGGCTCTGTCGTAGCCGGCCGCGACCGGGAGACCCATGGGCCGGCCCACAATTGGCCCAGCGTCGTCCAGGGTAGGGGAGGGAATGGCCGGCAGGGGATGTAGCTCAGTTGGTAGAGCATGGCATTTGCAACGCCAGGGTTGTGGGTTCGATTCCCACGGTGGGGCCAGTATGAAAAAATTAAAATAGTAATGTATGCACTCACTAACTGTAAGTAGCTCTGGATAAGAGCGTCTGCTAAATGACTAAAAAATAAAAATGTAAACATTTGTAGACTGACCTGATGTCCAACTTAATCCTATTTTGCATGCAGTTTACTGTGAATCTTTTGAAAACAAATTACTTCCTCCATCAATGAACTAAGCATGCATCTCATTACTGTTAAAACCCAATAAAGACCTATCCTAATGGTTGGAGACAATTATTCAACAGATAATATAATTGGACCAAACTGGATTTATAGGTTACAGCCTTATTCTAAAATGGATTACCATTTTTTTTTTATCCTCATAAATCTACACACAATACCCCATAATGACAAAGCGAAAACAGGTTTTTAGAAATGTTTGCAAATGTATTAAAAATAAAAAACAGAAATACCTTATTTACATAAGTATTCAGACCCTTTGCTATGAGACTCGAAATTGAGCTCAGGTGCATCCTGTTTCCATTGATCATCCTTGAGATGTTTCTACAACTTGATTGGAGTCCACCTGTGGTAAATTCAACTGATTGAACATGATTTGGAAAGAAACACATCTGTCTATATAAGGTCCCACAGTTGACAGTGCATGTCAGAGCAAAAACCAAGCCATGAGGTCGAAGGAATTGTCGGTAGAGCTCTGAGAAATGATTGTGTCGAGGCACAGATCTGGGGAAAGGTACCAAAACATTTCTGCAGCATTGAAGGTCCCCAAGAACACATTGGCTTAATCATTATTTAAATGGAAGAAGTTTGGAACCACCAAGTGCTTCAACAAAGTACTGAGTGAAGGGTCTGAATACTTATATAAATGTGATATTTCCGTTTTCTTTTTAATACAAATTTGATTTTTTTTATAAAAACCTGGATTTGATTTGTTATTATGGGTATTGTGTGTGGATTAATGAGGGAAAACATCGATTTAATTCATTTTAGAATAAGGCTGTAACGTAACAAAATGTGGAAAAAACTATTTAACTAACTATTTATGTATGTAAATAATAAATATGATAATATGTAAATATGTAAATATGAGAGAGAGAGACAGAGAGGGAGAGAGAGAGGGAGAGAGAGAGTGAGAGAGAGAGAGAGGGGGGGAGAGAGAGAGAGAGAGAGAGAGAGGGGGGGGGGGAGAGATAGAGATGAGAGAGGAGAGAGAGAGGAGAGATATATAGCTAGAGCGAAGAAGGAGCTATAGATCTATAGCCTATATTGGAGATATCGATATAGTAGAAAGATCACTGTCTGTTACTGGTATTTTAGATACTAATGCTCTGCCATAAGTGACTATCCTGTTTCCTGTCAGGTATTCTAAGCCATCTTGGAATCAGTTAGTATCTAACTATTTATGTTGATACAGTACATTGTTTTTATATTTTATTGAAGCAGCTCGTCTCCCTTGTAATGATCATACATTTGTATGACCTCAAATGAGAAAAAGAACAAAGCATTTGACACATCAATTGAGATACAACTGATATTTTTGTGATGCAAAAGTTTATCTGCACACAAAATCTCTGTTCGGATCACAACTGTTTTGTCAAATGCGTTGTAGGGGAGATTGGGGGTAAATTGAGCCAATTTTTACATTAAGCATCACTCCGTCAAGGGAAATATAGTATTCTTTCTCTCAAAGATATCTACATATATTTTAGGATGTTCTTTATCCCTGGAAATAATCAGAATTCATGTAAACAGTACAGTTTTGAAAACATAAAACAACAACTTACCCTTTGGATTTAGGGTAAATTAAGCCACCTACACATTTCTGCACTGAATTAAATATTACCACTACCTTTTTTGAAACCATGTCTATCTTTATTTCCCAAACACAATTCAACACAATCGCTTTTTTTTGTCTTTTCATCATTTCAAACATATTTTTTAACACCTAACAAACACTTTGTCCTTTTAACATCGGCCCTGTTGTTACCACCATAATGCCTTGCAATACACCTTGGAAGAAAACACTTCAATTTGCTCAACTAGCCATTGGCTCTTATCCAGAGCGACTATGCTATGCAATTGTCTGAGAAAACAGAGTTTTGATGGCCTCTATTAAAAAGAGGATGATCCCATCGGCTAGGCCTACTATATATATATATATTTTTTTTTTTTGTCATTTAGCAGACACTCTTATCCAGAGGGACTTACAGGAGCAATTAGGGTTAAGTGCCTTGCTCAAGGGCACATCGACAGATTTTTTCACCTAGTTGGGTCGGTGGGATTAGAACCAGCGACCTTTCGGGTACAGTCACAACGCTCTTAACCACTAAGCTACCCGCCGCACCCTTTC